TATTTTGTGCAATGACAACTGTGTTTCACACTGCGTGCACGCGTGTGCGTGCGCGCGGACACCACACACACACACACACACACCCCTTTACTCTGTGCCTCCTTCCTGATTCTTGCACCATATGGCGCGGATATCCAGAGGAGGAACTGTGTGGGAGACTCAGCGGGACTGTCTGAGCCTGCAGGGCCAGCTGCTGGGGACGGCTTCCTCCCACTCTTCAGGGATCATGTCTCTGGCTCTTTTGGGACTGTTTTGTGGTTGGCTGTTCGGATCTCATGACCTTTCATGAGCATAACATTTGGTCTGGGGGTGGGTCAGTCACTGCTGGTCAAGTATACTGAAGCTGTTATTGAGACTAGAGATGAAGATGGCTTTTTGCTGCCATAGTACCTTCTGTTTGAACCCCAGAAAACATGTGTGCAGGACACCGATGGCTGCTTCCCCTTTCCAGCTGGCTTCCTCTCCATTGCTGCTTTGTGTTAAGTTGGGACACTAGGAGGCCACTATCTATATCTTAGTTTGAAAAAGGAGAGAAAAATTAGAGACTTGTTGACTTTCTTTTTATGATAGTAGGAACAGTGGATCTTCTCCTTTTCCACCCTTGTCTCTTTGATCCTCCAGCATAGGACTATAAAATTATTAGACCACTCAGCTCTCCTGTTGCACATTCTTTGTGTACAAGAAAGGAAGTTCGTGGGTTGTTTCTTAGTAGTTGTAAATACTTGGGGGTTTCACCTTAGCTATGGTGTTTCAACGTCCTTCCCACTAACTGGCGGGCCTGGCTTTAGTACTATTCTCAGTCTTAATTTTGAGAATTCTGCTCGTATCACTGTCTCTCTCAACTGATCTTAATGTTTCATTGGAAATATTTGTAAATCCGGCTGCCATTTTTCTGAATTTTTCTCTGTTCACTGGAACTAGTGTCAACATCTCATATTGGTAGCTTTATTGTTTCTTTTTTTTAGGTGATGAAGATCTTGAAACATTGTACCTGTGGGATGAGTCTTCTGATTGAAATCTATGCTCATCCACTAGATTATGAGACTCTTGTGGGTAGAAACCATATTTTTCAGCTTAGCATAGCCATACCTCTCATTTATTACACCTACTATGTGTCAGAGATGTTGCTCTAATTATTTCAGTGTATTCCCATAAAGATAAGGTACACATATATAACCTGCATGTTCTGCACATATAACCCAGAACATAAAGTAAAATAAAAAATAAAAAAAATTTAAAAGGTAATTAAATTTAAAAAAATAAGGTACACATAAGGAATCTTATTTCAGAAGATCTTAAGTAAATGACCCGAGGTCATCTAGCTGGTGAGTCTCAGAACTTGCTTTTGAATTCGGTTTGACTTTAGAGCCTCCTTTCTAAATCATCTTTCCAAATTCCTTCTTGCAGAAAAGGGCAGATGCACAAAAGGAGTAGGATCTTGGCCTGTATCATGTTGGATGGTTCTCTTAAGTAGGAGACAGTTACAGAGCTGCATTCTTAAAGAGGAGGATAGAGTTCGCATGTCTTCAAAGCCCTTGTTCCTACTGATGGACAGTGACTTGCATCACTGGCCATTGCCTGCCGAGGAGGAGGTGAAAGATTCGAAGAGTGTTAGGTAGGGAGAATGTCACATCTGTCTTGGACATTCATGTAAAGAGGGACATGGAGGGGGTCCAGGTGAAATTTGACACGGACATCTGGGGTCTCCTTTTTTTTTTTTTTTTTTTTCCTTAGAGCATCACTGGTGTACATGGGCACTTAATAAAATTTGATTGAGAGCTGGACCTTACCACCCTTTAGGCGGAAGTCATCTGATGAAAGGTTTTGGCCCATTTGTGGGTCTTTACTTCATGCTTTTTCCTTAGGTTAGAGAGGCTGAGATGATGTGAATTTGTGTCTCACTGCTGAGGCCATGGGTTGAGGCCCTCAGACAAACTCTGAAAACTGGAATGAATTTATGGTGATAAGATATTCGGAGGGGCCGGGGCTGTGTTGAAGTCAGCGATGGCTTGCTAAAGATTAGGAGATGCTGTGCAGTCAGCCTCTATGCCTGTGGTTTAGACAATTAGAATGTGCCTACCCACTTTGGCAAGAAATAGGAAGTGCATAAATGCTTTATCAACCTGAAGCTTTGTTGGATGTGCTCAGAGAACTTTTCCTTTTAATGTATTTGGAAACTATAAATTTAACTCCTGCTGGGAGTGGAAGTAATTGCTTCACACAAGAAAAAGGCCAGCTCTTTAAAAGGCTTAACTCCTTTCACAAATATGTGCTTTTTAATGACTGGGAAATTCCTGGCACAGGGAAAAAAATGTCCTTTTTTTTTTTTTTTTTTTAACAAATGAGGTAATTCTGGTCTAACTAGCCCTGTACACTCGAGTTCCTGCTTTGTGTTCCATTTGTGACCATAGGTTATTGGAAAGATAATCCGTCTGTGGATATCCACTGCTCTTTGAGCTTCTCACCAAGGGGAAAGTTAGCTTAGCTTAGGAACTGCCGAGCCCGTGCAGGAGACCCAGATCCAAGGAGTACTGGGCTAGTGACTGAGAATGATTGAGTTTAGATTGCTCATGGATTGGGTTGTTAAAGAATGCTTTCTGTGTGCACTTGGATCCCTGTATCTGATTCATTCTCTTTAGAATTTCTCAACCATTCCCCTGCCTCTTGGTTCAGGAATAATTTTTCTTTCTTAGGTGCATACCATTTACGCTGCTTTGAGTCTGTTTGGATGAGTAGAAACATCTGTGCCAGTCCGAGGCCTGGTATCATTGAAAAGCAGCTGCTGAAACAAGTTGCTCTACCTCTTCCTTCAGACGCTCAGGAGCTGATTGCTCCTACAAGTAATTTGTGAATTGGCTTGGCTAATGTGCAGTAGGTATCTGAGGCCTTAGGTTTGTGTGGTGAAAGGGTTCTCCTACCTGCTAGTGTAGAGGAGATCTCAGTGGATGCCACTGATTCAATTTAAGCTCACTTTCCTCTCATTTTAACCATTGCCTACCAAGGAGGGTGTTAAAGATTCGAAGTGTTAGTTAGGGAGAGTGTTACATGTGTCTTGGACATTCTTATAAAGAGATGGACAAGGAATGGGTCCACGTGAGATTTGACATAGATCTTTGGGGTCTCCTTTTTTTTTCTTAGAGTCTCACTATGTCACCAAGGCTGGAGTGCTGTAGTGGCATGATCTGGGCTCACTGCAACCGCTGCCTCCTGGGTTCAAGCAATTCTCATGTCTCAGCCTCCCAAGCAGCTGGAACTACAGGCGTGTACCACCATGCCTGGCTAGTTTTTGATGTTTTTAGAGAGGCAGGGTTTCACCATGTTGATCAGTGTGGTCTCAAACTCCTGACCTCAAATGATCCTCCTGCCTCAGCCTCCCAAAGTGCTAGGATTACAGGTGTCAGCCACTGTGTGGCCCCTGGGGTCTCCTTTAGATGATACATTATAAGAAAGCTACTTCAAAGGATTGGTGTTTGGAAATTGATGTTTATTAATAGCTTTTTACGTAACAGCAGCATACTAGACCTTTTCTGCAGATTACCTTTTAGAGGTAGTAGTAGGTTTGTGCAGTTAATTAGCAGTAGCCCACGAGATTGCCAAGCTGCCATACTGCTTCTCATTTTGAAGGGTTTGTATTACATTTATATTCCTCTAGAATTCATCCTTGGCTGTAATGGATCAGTGTTTTGATGAGGCCTTGACTGCATTTTTCCTGTTTGATTGAGTACAGGTTTTTGTTACTTAAAACATTCACTCTCTTGCTACTGAGAACTTGGTTCTTCTTATCATAACTTCCTAATAAAATCAAGGTTCCAGCATCTTGGTGTCCCACTGATGGCTCTCTAAGTCTGAAACTCCAAGCTGTCTTGTTGCCTAATTTCCTGATCTGGGATTGAGAACCTCTGTTCTTAATCCATGAGCCATCATGGAGAGATTATGAAATTTGGTCATGAGCTGCTTAGATATTTGTTGCAGACCTCACTGTTTTTTTTTTTTTTTTTGCTTGAAGCACTTGTGGCCCATTCAGTATGCTCCAGAAAGAAACTTTGCTTGAATTCTCTTGGGACATGGAGGAAGTCAGGCCGCATGCTGGTTGAATCACGTCTGTGGGGCCCTGGATCACCTGCTTCCTATCCTATTCTGCCTTTTTATTAGTCTCCTCAGATGAAGAACAGGAAAAAAAAAATCATTTAAGCTTAAAAATATCTCTTATTGGCCGGGCGTGGTGGCTCAAGCCTATAATCCCAGCACTTTGGGAGGCTGAGGCAGGTGGATCACAAGGTCAAGAGATTGAGACCATCCTGGTCAACATGGTGAAACCCCATCTCTACTAAAAATACAAAAAATTAGCTGGGCATGGTGGTGCATGCCTGTAATCCCAGCTACTCAGGAGGCCGAGGCAGGAGAATTGCCTGAACCCAGGAGGCGGAGGTTGCGGTGAGCCAAGATTGCGCCATTGCACTCCAGCCTGGGTAACAAGAGCGAAACTCCATCTCAAAAAAAAAAAAAAATCTTTTATTATAAAGTTGATTATTCAACTCAGTTTGTCACTGCTTGCTAGACCATCCTTGAAAGCCTTGTTAAAACGCAGAAAAAAATATTAAGACGTGCCATTTCATTTCAGCTGGTCATGACCTCATGCAGATTACATATACTAGAAAGGAAACCATGACTCATGTTTCCGCAGGGCACCCTCCCCACCACCCCAAAGGCCTGGGTTTACTGAGGCAGCCAGTGAGTATTTTATTGAACTTAATAGCTGGTACAAAAGAATTGAAGAAGACATTGCTAGGAAGTACTATTATACTTGAAATTGGGCAGTTCTGGGTAGTTGCTCGGTGCCTCATACTGGTTTCTGTGGGGAAAATACACAGCATGATGCAGAATGGGTGAATATTGTAGAAGGAAAACTCTCGAGATCAGTAAAAGCTTCACCTATCTGCCTATGATGCTCACGATGGGAATGGTACTGATAATATGTTTTTATTATTATTATTCTTTAGCCTCAGACGATACAGCAAACTCTCAAGAGGACACTGCAGTATTATGAACATCAAGTTATTGGGTAAGTAAAAATTGATTTCAGTTATTATTGGGAGCAAATTAAAGGTAATTACTCAAACATAGCTGCTGAGCGTGTGATTTTCTGCTATCCCAGTCAACCTTATTTTATAGTGGTTATGTTCTTATAGTGGGGGTGGGGGTGAAGGCTTCTTGGGGGGTCCCTTGGAGTGATTTCCTTTGGCTTATTTGTGCTTAATTCTTTTAAATGAAGTTCCTTTTTGGTATTGCTTTTCCTTTTTTTCTTAGTCTTCTCAAGTTTTTTTTTTTTTTTTTTTTTTTTGAGACAGAGTTTTGCTCTTGGTACCCAGGCTGGAGTGCAATGGCGTGATCTCGGCTCACCGCAACCTCTGCCTCCTGGGTTCAGGCAATTCTCCTGCCTCAGCCTCTTCAGTAGCTGGGATTACAGGCATGCACCACCGTGCCCAGCTAATTTTTTGTATCTTTAGTAGAGACGGGCTTTCACCATGTTGACCAGGATGGTCTCGATCTCTTGACCTCCTCGTGATCCATCCGCCTAGGCTTCCCAAAGTGCTGGGGTTACAGGTGTGAGCCACCACGCCTGGCCCATCTTCTCATGTTCTTATTCTCTTATTCTGATGTTGAATCTTATAATTATGCCTTACTAAGGTGGTAAGGTTTATTGGTACCAACCCAGATGCTTTGAATGGGATTTCAAAATCCTTAAGTAGATAAAAATCACTACAATCTTAACACAGCTTCGTGAGAGGAATTGGTTTACTGACAGTCATGTGCTACATAGTTTGCTTTATTATCTCCTGTTTCTCGAAGTGATTGTGATGTAGTGCAAAGTAAGAATACTTGAGGTCAGGCCGGACGCGGTGGCTCAAGCCTATAATCCCAGCACTTTGGGAGGCTGAGGCAGGTGGCTCATGAGGTCAAGAGATCGAGACCATCCTGGTCAACATGGTGAAATCCCGTCTCTACTAAAAATACAAAAAATTAGCTGGGCATGGTGGTGCGTGCCTGTAATCCCAGCTACTCAGGAGGCTGAGGCAGGAGAATTGCCTGAACCCAGGGGGCAGAGGTTGCGGTGAGCCGAGATCGCGCCATTGCACTCCAGCCTGGGTAACAAGAGCGAAACTCCCTCTCAAAAAAAAAAAAAAGAAAAAAAAATACTTGAGGTCAAAAACAGGACTTCAAAGCCTCGCTAGCACGTAGATCTTTTACTAAGTAACTTCATCTCTTTCGTGAAACATGATGATCATAACTAAGTAAAGATTCGATGTCATGGTTAGATGAGATAATTTCAATGAAAGCATTTTGTAAACAGAAAGCTCCAAATGAGCATGAGGTATACATCTAATTGGCTATGGCAGAAAGCAACTGGCAAATACAAAAGCCTACATTTACTTACTCATGCAATCTAGCTTTTAGATTAAATTTATTGACATTAGAGGCAATGTATTTTTAATTTACCTTGTTAGTATTCTTTATATGTCACAGTGATTTATCTCTGTAAGATTTTAAGAACTTTTGAGAAGTGAAGATTCGAACTGTGGTACTTCCTGAGGCGCTGTCGGGATCACTTAACATTTATGGCTGGCAGTCATTGCCATAGGGATCAAGAACATCATTTTGGCTATGAGGGTGTCGTGGTTTTTTTTTTTTTTTTTCCAGAACAGAAGGACAGAAAATTTAATAGAAAAATAATATCTGTAACTAGCACAACGCATGTACTCCACGTGCTTGATGATTATGGTGATTGTCGTTTCGAAGAGGATTGCTTTGAGACTGTCATACTAACCCTTAAGAGTGCAGTTCTAGGAAAAACATATTTAAACTCCTGAGACGGCTTTTAGTTTTGAGGCCATTAGTGATTTTAAATGGTTTATCCTCATGAAGATAAAGAACATCAAACTTGTCTTTCTCCACACGTTCTAAAATAAAACGTAATCACTCTCATTGAATTTGCTGCTTTCAAAGTATGGTGTTTGAATTAAATTAGTTAGTATACCTAAAACAGTTCTTGTATGCGATGACTACTACATACCTGTTTGCTCTTCGTCTATTATTGTTGTTGTTAATATTTTTATGACAATATCCATCGTCAAACTCTGTTTTCTGGGGTTATGAATGCTCTGTTTTGAAATAAAATAATAATTTGAGGAAATATTCTCATTTATGAACCAAAGGCTGTCTTTAAGGCAAATTGGAGTGGCGCTCTTCTAATGTGACCGAAATAGTTAACCGCACGATGTTGCTATAATCAGAACAATTTTTTCTCCATGGATAGAATGCGAGGGAGTTCTCTTTTATCCCGGTACCTGCCTCAGCCCTCCCCATGTCTAGAAGCAACCCAGATATGGCCTGTGGTGATTCTTTGTCCATTGCATTAATGGTCTTTTCCTAGTTCTGTTTAGTGCAGACACAGAATAAAGAAAACAGAGAATTTGACTCCAGTATAAAGAGGAGTCTTGTTGTCTGACTTGATCCAAATGGGCCTATTAGCATATTTTGCTCGGGTGTTGACTGGCTTCTGGGACTTGAAGTACCACTGCTCCCTGCCTTTATTTGCACTCATGCTGATGAAGACAAAGGGGACCTGCTGGCAGCAATTCTGTTACGTTTGCCTTTCTTGACTGTATTCTCCTCTTTTACTTTTTTTTCCTCATTGATGACTTTTCTGTCAAACTCCCTCTTTTGCCTTTCATACTCCATCTTTCTATGTTTTATCTCCCTTTTTGGTCAAAATAAGTGGAGCAGCTGATACCATTCACCCTTGGACTAAAAATTATTTACAACTCTGTGTTGTTACTCTTAAGAAAACACAATTTAAATGTTCTTATCTCTAATTGTGAAAAAGAATGTGTTTCTTACAGTTAAAGGGATTTAGGAAACCCTCTATTGAGAATTGAGAATAAGTGCAGACAAGCATTATTTTAGTTATTTTTGGGGAGGTAAGGGTGGGAAGGAGATGCTTTTCCTAATCTCTGAAATGGGGCTTGCTTAAAGCTGTCTTGAAATAACTCAGCATTTAAATACTTTGTGTTGAGGTGTTGAAGCAGAACAGGCAACAGATAATTTCTTAATTATCCTCTAACCACTGACCCTCCTTTCTTTACTTTTAAAACTCTGTCCTTAATCTGTTTTATTTATCAGAGCTCCAGGATTGTACAGTTCTGTGCCTTGGATTTTATACTGGTTGCCCATAGAAACTCTGAGGCTTTTTTTTGTCTGCCAGGACTGAGACTTGAACGCAGAGAGCATCTGTTCCAAAGGGTCACAGGCAGAAGGATTGGGAGGGAGTAGCTGATAGGGCTTCCTGTGAGGGAGTAAGATAGCCTCTCTGTACCTCATCCACTTTATCTTTAAACATTATTCTATTCCTTAATTTATCCATTCACTTGTTCATTTATTTATTCATAGAGATTATTCAAGTTGGAGAAATGAGTGCTAAAATAATTTATTCATGCAGTGTGATAAATCTCTTCGTCTCCACTGTCATCACCATCATCTCACCGAGACATTCTGGGCTCATTTTCTGGTTTCTACTTTTGTCTGACAATATGTATTTTCACCGCAGCTAAGTGATTAAAAAAATTAGATCTTGCCACCTTCTTACGTGAAACCAATGGTTCTCAGATGTTAATGTGCTTCAGAATCACCTTCCAGCCTTGCTAAAACACGTATTACTGGGCCCTGCTCCCGGAAGTTCTGATTTTTTGTAGGTCTAGATGGGGCTCAGGAAACTGGCATTTCTGACAAGTTCCCAGGTAATGCTGAGGCTGCTGGTCCAGGGATCACACTTTCAACCTCCTGCTTTAAGCCATACAATGGCTTATTATGGTAGAATAAAGTCTAAATTCTTTCTGCGATCTGGCCTCTGCCTACCTCTCGAATTTTACCTCTTTCCACTTCCCCTTTTCCACTCCATTTCAACCTTCTGTTGGTTTCTCAACTTAGCAGCCTTGCTTCAGGACCTTTGCATGTACCATTTCATTTTTATGTAATGCTTTTCCCCCAGATGTTTGCATGCCTTTTTCTTTCTATAAATATAGGTCTCTGTTCACGTGTCTTCTCTTCAGGAAAGCCTGCCCTGACCACTGGTCTGAAGTGTCTCTCCATCACCTACCTCTGACTCCAATTGTGTCAGGTTGACTTTGTGGAAAATTTTGATTACTATATAAACTCTACATAGTCATGCTCACTTGGAGAGATCCTTCTTCCTGTAGCATTGTCTGTCCTCCACCCAAGAGTAAGGGGTCACTGAGTGTGCATCTTTATGTTAGTTGCTCTTTACCTCAAACTTCTGGGGAATGGACTAGCTTTCTGGCTAATGTGGGGTGGAAAGACTAGTGAGAAGCAGAAGGGGCCAGTAGGAGACAGGCAGGATTCACTTTAGAAATTATAAGAAACTGAGGATGGAAGAATGTCTGCTTGTAGTGGTACTTTTTTTCTGATATAATTCTTGCCGTTATCTTCTGCCCTTTCTTCTCTTTGTCGGTTGTGGAAAGACTGTGTTTTGTAAGTAGACATATGAGACTTACCAGACTTAAAGTCAGGTTTTGCTACTGAATAATCTTGGGCAGGTTACTTAAAATCCCTCAGCCTCAGTTTTATCATTTTAAAAACAGGAATAATAACAGGGTTGTGGTGAGTTTCAAATAAAATCTTAATGATAATAATGCATGAAGTTATATAATCCCATAAAGTAGTTAGCGTAGTACCTGGTACACGCGATGATCATCATTCAATGAACTGAATTATTATGAACTACTCTTAGTATATGACTCTTTTGCAGTTGAACTTTTGTGGATTGTCTTCAATTTATCCTCCTGCTGCAAACTTTTCTTGTCTTCCTTGGACCTTTTAAAGTTTAGAATCTCTTGTTTAGCATTGGGAGCTGAACATGCCCAGTTCATGTTCTAGCTACAGTTTTCTTCTTACAGCGAACACCCTTTTCTTTTCTTTTTTTTCCTTTAGACTGAAAGTTCTGTCTCTAGAGGGCTTGACCTGACTGCTCTCACTCATGTTTATCCCACATGACTCCTGCTGGTCTAAGGCTCACAGAAATGAATTGCTGTGGCAGGGTAGATGAAGCACAGATTTCTTCAGTAAACTGTTAAGGGAGATGTGATCCTCTTTCTGAGATACAGTGTTCACTTGCTATATATTTTAAACAATAAAGAATAAAGAAATATGTATTCAGAATCATGCCAATAATTGTATCCATTTTTTTTTTTTGCCAGAAGAAGCATTGTTGTGTTAATTTCATGGGTAGGACTGTTGCCGAATTCATATTAGTCTGGGACACCAATTCTTTATAGTCATCTAAAATTAAATTCTATTGCTCCAATTATCAATGTGGGCCCTATGTTTGTTTTATACAGCCAACCTTCTGTTCTCTTTTTCTTTTGACAATTGAGGAGAAATTAAGCCAGAATAATTTCAATAGAACACTTGAAGTGAAATTAAGAGTGGGCAAATTCTGATTATTCTGGGAAACAAGCTTCAAGGATACTATTTAACCTTTCATGATCAGGCTTTGTGGCTTAAATTACTTTATTTAAAACTATTGTAGCTTTTAAATATGAAAAAACTATCTTTTTGAAGATAAACAGATTAGACAAAAGCTGATATCTTTGTTTACTATGTTTGAGGAGATATCCTGGGTACTTTCCATCTTTTATTTAATCCTAAACATATTGCATAAGACTACCATATTAAACACATTTTACAGATGAGGAAATTGTGGCTAAGAGAAAAAAATACTTTTTAAAGGTCCTTCTGATAAAAATGGTGGAGCTTGATTTAAAAATAACCCTGTGTGGCCGGGCGCGGTGGCTCACGCCTGTAATCCCAGCACTTTGGGAGGCCGAGGCGGGTGGATCACAAGGTCCAGGGATCGAGACCATTCTGGTCAACATGGTGAAACCCTGTCTCTACTAAAAATACAAAAAATTAGCTGGGCATGGTGGCGTGTGCCTGTAATCCCAGCTACTCAGGAGGCTGAGGCAGGAGAATTGCCTGAACCCAGGAGGCAGAGATTGCCGTTAGCCGAGATCGCGCCATTGCACTCCAGCCTGGGTAACAAGAGCGAAACTCCGTCTCAAAAAAACAAACAAACAAACAAACAAACAAACAAAAAAACCGTGGTTGTCTGTGTCTAACATCTGTGCTCCCCGTTCCACCTCTTACTGAGTGCCTCCTGCATTCTGGAAACCGCAGCAAGCATTTTTCCTAACGGGTTTATTGGAGTCCAATCTCAACGAGGTGTACAAACAGGAAACCATTTTACTTTTCTCTCCGCTCACATCAAACGTGCTAGGATGAATTCCCTTTGATAGGAGCTTAGATTGCTCCATTTTCTAAGTACTTCCTAGAATTAGGAAGTTTACTCTAGACCAGTTTAAATTTTTACCCTCATATCCGGTCTGTTTCTAACGTTCCCTTTTCTGTCCGGATCGGGCCTTGGCCTAAGAGACTTGGAATGCAGAACAGAGTGGATGATGTGGGCTTTCCCTCCTCTTCTCCAGGCCATTCCTTTCCGGCTGCTTTCTCTTCTGATGTGTTGGGTGAGGCATGAATGAAACGGAAACTGGCAGAAGCCTTTTTACATCCACTGGGGTTGTAGCAGTCCTCTCCTGGCTGTGATGCCCTAGCTAGGGTGCATACATGGGTTCGGCCTTGATTGCGTCGGCTGCCCCAGCTCCTGCACCGATGGACTGCACTCTCGTGGTCTTGCTAATGGGAGCCCTGTCCGTGGCTGGCAGCCTCTAGATTGGAAGAGCACCATGACAAGCAGACAACTCTCTCTTCCATAACCCATGGGAAACTCACATGTTTGCCCTGCCAATTTCTAGGTCTTTAGGTTGCTCCCAATTTTGCTCTGTTTCTTTCCTTTGTCAATTACTCTCTCCAGTATCTTCTTCCTTTTAACAGCCAGACATGGGAGTACGGTCAGGAAATCCACTGCCTCTGCAGACATTAACTGGGGAATGACATGGGCAACCCCCAACCTCTACCAGCTATGGACCCCCCTCACCAACGGGACTTCTGCAGGGAACACTCCCCTTTTCTCCTTTTCTAGGTGGGGAGGGGGAAAAGTACAACAGCACTTGCTTTCTAGGTCAATTCCTCACTCTTCTGAAGATTTGATTTTAAAGTCTTTCTATTCCTTTGCTTCTGTAAGCTGGTGGTAGGGTGACAGGGGTGGTAGCTGTTTAGTCTCCTCTTAAATCCTAAAGAAGAACTCTGGTCCTGACTACCCCTTTGGAACGTGGGAAGATTTGGCCTTTATTGTCATCATCCTTTTCGTCTTGGCTCTTATTCAGAGGCAACTCAAAAAGTCCCAGCCAGCATCCAACAGACGTGGACATTGTGCTATTCAGTCCTCACAAGAACTCTAGGAGGCACCTCCATTTTATGAAAGAGGAAAGTTAGACTAACAGAGATTAGGTTACTTGCTCAAGATCTCACAGATAGAACATTTTAAGACCACGACTCAAATTCTGCCAGGTGTATGTTATCTATTTACCATACTGCCATCTTCTTGACTGTGACAGAGGTTATGGTGTATTTACTTTCAACACTGTTGAATGCCAGGACACCAAATTAACACTGTTACGTTTTCCTCTTCTGTGATCTTCCTTACAGATCACTAGCCCTGATGAAGTGCTCACAGAGTGACACATTAGCTATACAAAGCTGATATATTTTTTTGTTCTCCTCCGTATTGTTTTTTTCACGCTTAGCTTGCTTGTGAACACCTGCGTCCAGTTCCAGGTCTACACTGCAAATGCTGATGTGAATGGTGGGTTATGCCAGAATGATGTCTCAAAGTTTCATTTACGTTAAAGTGTGATTATGACGAAAGCATAGACTGCACGTGCTTGGGCGTGTGTCTATGAGCTGCATTCACAGATGCTTTCAACAATTTCTCCATATGCTAATTTTGTTTTCTTCTTAGTTACAGGGATGCGGAAAAGAATTTCCACAATATCTCTAACAGATGCCGCTATGCAGACCACTCCAGCAAAGAAGAAATTGAAGACATCTCAGGAATTCTTCAGTGTACTGCGAATATACTCGGTATAGTAACTATATATTGATATGGTTGAGAGAGAATGAAAGAGAGGGAAAGTTGAGGTGTAAATGATTCATTTTCTACCAAAGAGAGATTTGGAGAATATGGCAAGTTGAGACCCAGACCTTGTGAGGTGACGAATGTTAACTCTCCTGCAGACGTTTGAGTGGAAATTGCATGCCATTTACTTAGAGATGGAGAAACAGCAAAATAAAAATACTTAAATTCCAAAGAAACAATTTCAGATACTCACATGTTAATAATATTAGCTTTCTATAATCCATGTTTCTTTGGTGCGTATTTTCAGCTGAAATTGTAGGATTTTTTTTTCCCTCTCAGTCATACTCTGTTATTTCTGGGAGATCCTGGTTGGGGCATAAGGGTAGCCCACAGGTACTCTTAACACTCTACAATCCAGTGTCCCTTTCTGTGGCTTTGTCACTGAAGGGGTCATCTGCTGAGGTCTCTGTGCCCTACTTGGGGCTGGGGGAATGTCCATCTTAGAGATATTTGTGCTACGACAGAGGGGCTGTTTTTGGATGCTTCAGCGTGGCTAAAAGGTACTGTTGTAGTTTGCACCCAGTCACATGTCCTTAAGCTACTAACTGAGCTGTACTACCATACTATCGGCAGTTCTTCATGCGTGAGAGCTACATTGTATTCCATGCAAAATATTCTAAGAGGAATATTTTTTCCCTAATGTCTTACAGATATTTCTAGTGAGAAATCTCTCTTTAAGTTCTTTTTGGAATCATTTTCTTTGTTATCAGACAGGAATCCATGGGATGCTGGAGGGTGCTACTGGGGAGTAACACATCTTAGCGCACTGCTTCACACAGAATGCAGAATCACTTCTCTTTGGGTTCAGGTGATGGAGAATAAGGCAAACCAGTTTTCCTGTTCTTTCTTTTCCTTTAAAGTAATTTCCCTGGAGGCATATGAGTTTCTCCTACAAACAGTTTCCAGGTCACCTCAACCCAAGAGTCTATCAGATTTTTCTAAACATGCCTGACTTCTAGAGGTAGACTTCTTTCACATTCAGGCTGGAAACCCAGCCGCCAGTTGGCTACATTTTCATCCTAAGTAATTTTTGTAAACATAAAATCATGCAATAAGAAAATGTATACCTTTTGTGAGGGGAGGCATGCAGATGTTAGTGGTTTGAGGTAACGGTACACAGGACAGTGATGGGTGGTTGGAAGGATGCCAAATATTCATCCCCTTAATCTTAGAATAACTGCAGGAATGTCACCATGCCCAAGTAAATCTTATGATTGGAGAAAATAAGGGATGACATTAAAAGAGACATTATGGTGAAACCCTGTCTCTACTAAAAATACAAAAAATTAGCTGGGCATGGTGGCGCGTGCCTGTAATCCCAGCTACTCAGGAGGCTGAGGTGGGAGAATTGCTTGAACCCAGGAGGCGGAGGTTGCCGTGAGCCGAGATCGCGCCATTGCACTCCAGCCTGGGTAGCAAGAGCGAAACTCCGTCTCAAAAAAAAAAAAAAAAAAAAAAAAAAAGAGAGACATTACCCAACAGCTGTTCAGTTTCCTGATTTTATATTTTCAGGGACTCTGCTTTCAGTAACATCTATTTCTCTTAATGCATTGTGACTTCAAGGGGCGGGTGATGATGCCGCACTGAAAGGGTTGTATCAGAATTTCAGTGAAGGAATGTTTAATATTTTGAAAAGTTGCTTCTTATCCAGTTTCTAAACATTTTCCTGACCCTCATCTCTGTCTTCCTTATGCTCCCTATTTCTAGAATTGCTGAGTTAGAGGGAGTAGGAGATGTTCAAAGGTAATGAATATGTTGAGGGTGCTAAAGGCATTTGGGCTGTGGCTTGTAAATGAGTGTGTAAAATTTCCAGGGAAAGAAAACCTGGGTCAGACAATTTGAAATAGTGACCACCAGGGGACACTGTTGGCCCAGCACAGCTTAGTTGCCCTTTGAAGGTTGCATTGAGATGCTGAGTAAGTAGTGAGTGAGAACAGCAGGCAATGTGCTGTCTGATGGATGGCATTAGGGTAAGGGAAGTGTTTGTAACTTAGAAGGTGACTGTGTAACAGGGTTTAGATTTCCACGAATACTAACTTTTCTACAAAACAGATACTAGGTCTGATTATTTAATTCCTCTTAAATAGTGATAGGTTGTCCTGAAGATTTAAAGCACAATCTTGTAAAGTTTAAATTTCTGGAGATTAACATTCAGTGCCTGCCACCTGCCAACCAGATGCTGGCACAGATGATTATGTGCCTAAGAGGTAACTGTTCTCTTTGAATAATGTCTTTTCAGAAGTCTTGATATATTGACTCTCTGAGGACAGCTTTAGTGGTCATATTCAATCAAAGCTTTGTTTTTAACAAGTTGCTGAGTTATGGTTAATCTTGGCTTGCTTAGATTTTATCCTATTTTAAAGTTGTGTTTAAATTCTCTTGTGTAATCATTTATGAGAATGAAAGAATTGGTTAGCTTACTATACAGAAAAGCAACACGAAAAATATTTTCGGGGAGGGTGTTGGGGTGGCACAGGGAAAGAGCATTTCAACCAAGTTGAGAAAAATTTTGACGCCTAGGAACCATTTTTTTTTGGATGGCAGAAGGCAATGTTCCAACTCATGGTTTGTGACCTTTGGGGAGTGTGATTAGCATATTGGTGGACTGAGATTGGCAAACATTTGTGACCTTTGGGGAGTGTGATTAGAATATTGGTGGACTGAGATTGGCAAACATATATTTCTCTTACCTTCTTAACCTGTTACAGGGTTGTGCTAGAGACTGGAAATGTATGGGTTTATCCACTTATTTGTATGTTATTTAGACTTCATCATCGAAGGAGACTTGAGGCTGTAGATCACGAACTCTGATCATAGCAGCAATTTTTCTCCTTCCAAAATGACCAGTCCTATCTAATTACTATTAACAACTCCTCTAGATAGTTTGGTCATTTACTGGCTCTTCAGGTTGAAGTTTGCATTTAGAGGGTGGCATGGAATAAAAAAGAGGACCCGGAGAGAGCGAGAAAGTGGGTTGGAGAAGACCAGTTATGCCTCCGTCACTCATTTGTTCTCTCACCTCTTCCACGAGACTCCCTGGGAGCACGTTGTGCCCTAGAGAGATTCATGCCTCTGGAGTCCTAGGCAAGAACTGCTGCCAGATATCAAAATGTTTGCTGTCTATTTTCCTTTTGTTGGCTTAGAAACTGGTTGTTTCTATTTTCTGTCTCATTGTTTACAAATTACGGATATTGATTATGGTCTGTTTATTGCTGTCTCTTCCCTACATTTTGGTGCTCTGGCAATCGCTGTGATAATGGAGGCTGGGCCCTTGAAACTCTGGCTATGCAAAGGGTAATAGACAATGCTGGAGGACTTTAGAGTTAAATTTATTGCTTTATTTGGTACATGTTGTCTTTTGCATACCAAAATGATCTAATTTTAGTTGTCCAAAAAAAATTTTTTTTATAGCCCTAATCTGCAAAGCCTATTTTTAGCTCAAATTAAATAGTAGAAATGTGTTTATCCTCTTATGAAACATGACATTTAGTATTTTCTTGGAAATTATAACGGTTGAATGGTATGATGAAGCAAGTATTTAAGCATGTGTGCCATGTTTTCTGCTGAAATGCTGCTACTTGTTCCTATGGGTTGGATTTAGATGGTGTTGCAGGCAGGGAGACAAAGTGAGTAGGGGAGTTAAGGGAAAAGGATGATGAATCGCATAGTCTCCTTTGTCATAATAAGTTAAATATAAATGAGGTTATGACTATTTCAGTTTTAACAAGTTCTAATACTATTAAGGGTGTTGTGGGTGTTTCAGTTGCTGTAGAGCTTTAAGAGCTGCAAGGTGGGGGAGATAGGGTGTAGGAAAAAGACTTCCCACAGTAGTTTAGAGAACAGATAGAAATGATAGCTCTAGGTTAATTCATTTACTGATGAGTTATGGCAAATAAAGATTCGCAGTTTAAATATTTTCAGTATTTTACTAAAATGCATTGGAATTAAGGTGGTTGGAAGGGAAATAATTTAATCCTGCTACTATAATGTAGTGATTTAGAGCAAGACTGCAGCCAGACTACTGGGGTTGAAAATGCAGTTCAGCTCTTTACTAGCTGCACGAACTGGAATGATTTGCTTCCTCTTTCCTTACCTCATATTTCTTATTTGCAGAATGGAGATGATACAATTACACACTTCCTAGAGTTGCTAAGAAGATCAAATGAGTTAATTTTTATAAAATACATACTTAGAACAGCATGGTATATAACCAGCTGCTTTTATTATTTATTGAGCATTCCCCAAATAATGTTTGCGTCGGACGCAGGAGGTTTGCTCACTTTTTCAGGTGAAGAAACTGATACTTTGCAAGGTTAACTAACTCATCGATGTCTTTGGTTAGAGTTCGCAAGTCCCAGAGGCAGAATTTAAACTCATTTCAGTGTGATTCCAGACCTCGCGCTCTTCTCAGTACTTTGTGCTGCCTCCAGAGCTGTCGACTGTGTCATCATTCCTCTGATACTAATTACACACCATCTTTCCCGTTCTCTAGATTCTTAGAATCGTCATGATGTCGCATTTTGCTTAGTGCATTGCTCTTTCAAATGTACTTGGGATACTTGCTGTCATGTGACACACTTCTTGTCAGTACTGAGGAAAGTACAGTTTCACTGCAATGTGGGTCCTTTCAGTTTAGAAACTAGGATTATTCTTTAGATTTCAGGTTTTGAAAAGGTAAATTAAGGGCGATGGTGTTTCCCATCACAACACAAACACGGTTTCATAGCTTTGCTGTGGTAAACACTGTGCCAGTTTTGCTGCTCAGATTTCAGCCTGATCTTGCTACATAGCGGGCCTCGTATGTTAGACACCATCAGGGCAGCACAAAACCTGCAAAAAGGCTGTTTTTCTCATGTTGTTGATTTCTTTTAATGGAAAAGTTTGAGAATGTCCTCGTGAATCTTATTAAACCGTTTCTAAACAGAGACTTTAGGTAGTGGCTCTG